AATTCGTTGGATTATAATACAAAACAAAAATTAATATACTATAAAAACAAAAATAAAAAAATAATAATAATTAACGAATGGTTATTACGCAATTTACCTTGATACGTGTTTTTTGTTCGCGTGTGTTTGGATGTAATGTTGTTTTTATTTTTTGTTGTCTTCTTTTATCATGTACAATTAATATTTTTAGTTTTATAAGTATTTAGAATATTATTTTAAATCTTTGAAATTTTAATTTAGTTCATTTATTTTGTTAATAATCATATTATATTTCAATGACTCTCTATCTCCAACACAAGCTTAGCTTAAAGGAGATAGATAATCGGAAATGTTAACTTTTATAATAATTTATGTATATATTTTTCTTTTCGATAAATAAATAAAGTGTGCAGTAGTGAAGTAAGTAAGAGAGGTACCCAAGTGTTTACAGATAAAAAATCAAATACCGGTACTGTACTTGCCTTTTTTTTTAAATAAAATATGTGAACGCACTCATTCTGTTAACTGATTCGCTTAAGGGGATTGCATGCAGTGTGTTTTTTTTTTAAAGTTTTAGACCAAAAAGCCAGACAAAATGTCGACTACTTAGGATGGTCCGATGACAATTCTTCAACGATATACAAGTTCTTAGGTTTTGTAGGAAACAGATTTTTGATTATTTATGTGAAAAATTTAGGTTTTAATATTGAAAAATGTAATTATTTTAAATAGGTACTGAAAATCTGGTTTCTACATAACAAAGTAAAGTAGCCAAAGAACTGGAATCTCTTTACAGAATTGAAATTGGACATTTGTCAAACATTAGTTCAACATAGTCGACATTTTGTCCGGCTTTTTGGTCTAAAATAAATCAAAATGGCTTTTACTCGTAGAAAAAATTATTTAAATTGAAAATAATACCTCGAAGCTAATACAAATTAACCGGAATGAATTATTTGATATGGTTGAAATTTATTGAAACATCTTTTTTTCCTTAAATATTGCCTATACAAAACTCCTTAAAAACACACCGCGTGCAATCCCCTTAAGAATAATCCATTGACATTGTTTCACACTAACCGATTGGAAGATTTAAAATATAATCAAAGTGCAAACATTTTTCTGGGATGTTATAAAATTCAAAATCATATTATAATTTCAACCTTTAGTTGTGCTACTCGCCACAATTATTACATTCTACATGTAAAAATTATTATCGTTCTTGAGGTGGAGACATTACCAAGGTCAAGTCGAGTAACAGGCGAAAATTCATTGAACGTTTTCCACTATTTTTTTTTAATAACGCTATTTTATTATTCATGAAATTTTCATATTAACTAATTATATATGTATAATATTAACAGCTGTAACGTTGCACAGGTTTAAAATTACACCAACCATTTTTGGCTTTTGCAATAAACATGCCAGATAGAGCCCACCTCACTACAGCAATAATTAAACCTAACCTGTATACTTAGGCACGTGTATACAATTAAGGCAATAGACGCTGTACGTCTTATAGAATTTGTTTGGCTCATTTCCTTTAAAAACGAACCAATACGTTCTCGGCCGTGCTACAGAGCTTGTAAATTATTATTAAAATCCGACCTACTTAATTATTTTCACCTTAAACGACATTACTAAATGTTACCAAACCCCCCCCCCCCCTTTGACAGCTTTTTTTTGAAATTTAAAACTGGTACTGAATTCCCAAAACCAGCAACCCTCAAAAACATATACACACTTTTAGCTTCGGTGAGGAGTTGAGTAAATTGAAATTAGATAATTTAAATGAATTTGTTTTCGTTAGAACTGATTAACAAGCATTGCTAATATTGCACTTAAATCATTGATTTTTTTTTTTAATTATACCTTAAAAACTTAAATTGATAAATTACTAAATTAAAACTAACACTTAAAAAAAAAAATAATAAAACAAATGATACTAACAAAATAACTGTCGACTTTTATTTTCTTCTTTTTCATTTGACAATATTCATTTATAGTACTAATACCTAATAATTAATAATACCTACTCGTATAATATTATTATCATATTTATTGGTACATTTAGATAAACACAATTTTGGTTTATACAAACTACAAAGAGTTGTATTTTTTTTTTTTAAGTCAGTACAAAGGAATTGGAGGCTGGAGCATATTAGAGTGGGGGAGGTCATAGGACTACAATAATGAGATCACTTTCAAAAGCTTCTATCTATTGGATGGTGAAGGAAATGAGAGGTTAGGAGGTTATTGAAATGAGAACCATCTCACTGGAGCGATGCATGGTAAAATATTCAGCTGATAAATGAATGATTCATATAAGACAGACAAGAGACAATCAGCTGATCATACTTTATTAAAAAAATGGAATAAGTCACCATATTCATGATTATTTGGTGGCAAAACTTGTGTAGAGTGAGGCGAACAAGTTTGTCCATCAAAAGGCAACGCTCTAAACTCTAAAGCCAATAAAATATGCTTATAATCTGGTTTGCAATCAGTTAGACTTTAGTCATAATTAAAAGTATCAAAAATAAAAGTTCTTTACTAGGTACAATTATTTTTTTTTTACTTATTAAACTTTTTTTATATTTATTTTTTCGTTAAGAGATTAATTATTTGGTAAATAAATAATTTTTGCTTCGTTAAAAACGCTTTTAATTTCCGAATTGTTACCAAAAAAAAAATTTGAAAATTCTGATTTAAACCAAGTGGCCAAGTTTTTTTTATATTCTATAGCAAGCATTTTTAGGACTCAAGCGCTTAAAATTAGTCAGAAGATAGAACTTAAATGAAATATCTATAACACATTGAAGGAAAAAACCGATGCATACATATTATTTTTTTTTTTCAAGTTTTTACATAAATACTTACTATAATTTTTCAAAAAAAAATGTTCAGGTCATTATACACACAAGCGGTGATCATTTTATCGTGAACCACTCAGAATTTAATTGGGTTTAATTAGTAATACTGTCTCTGTCCAAACTAATTGTTTTTATATTAACTTTTGAAACTTGAATGGTAACGCATTGACTTTTTAAATTGGCAATATTGTACTGACGATTTCGACCGGTCGATACCTAACCAGTTTTGGATAACTATTTTTAAAATTATTGTAGTTTCAAGTTTTGGGCAGGTAAATTGAGATCACGATATATGAAAAAAAAAAAAAATTCAGTTACTAATTAAATCCAATACAGATATCGAGTGGTTCGCTAAAAAATGATCACCCTGTATTATGGACGCCTATTAATAGAGTTTGCCTATTGAATTTTAAGTTTCTCATTGGCTTAGTAAAAGCGATATTAAATTTCGAAATCAGCCACCCAAAACATGCAAGTAGATTGACCTATTTTGAAGTGTGTTTTACCGTATATAATTAACACTATACAGGGTGTCCCACAAAGAGAAGACAAATGAAATAACATTTGCTCTAGCGAATATTTTTAAGATTTTTTTTTTTCGAAATGTCGACTGGTCGACAACTAGTTTTGGATAGTTACTTTTAAAGTTATTTAAGTTTAAATTATTGTAGGATGGGAGGTGGCATTAAGACCAACGGGCCAAAGCAACGAACGCTGTCGTTGGTATAACTTACTTGTAACTTATTCGACAGTAAAACGAAAACAAGAACTGGTATTCGGCTTCCGCATATCGTTTATTTTTTATCCGATGGAAATCTTGCTCTAAATCTGGTTTTGTAACAAATTAAACGCGCGGATTATAGTGTTATAAAGTATAACTCATGTTTTCAAGGTCAAAACGATGAAAAATAAGAAACCGGCATAAAATCAACCAACAGCTAATAATATATTATTGTTTTCTACTTTAAACACATCTTCGGCAAACGCAGACTTTTTAGCCTATTGCACTTTAGTAGGTAAAAATTAGCTATGTAAAATTATATATATATTTTTTTTTTTTTTGCAAAACGATGAATACGCCCGTTTTTTATTTTTCATTTAACTCGGAAGGGAAGAATTGCAAACACAGGATTTACAGTATACAGTGTTAATAAATTAGCAATATTTATTACTACTATACAGGGTGGTCAATTAAACACAAGACACCCGACATCTCTTAAAACTATTGCAGTTTTGTAGTTTTTCCATTTGGAAACATTTTTAAAAAAATTGCTTAATAATCAAGTATCTTTTTTAGTATTTTGCAGCGCTCTTGTCAACTTTTAAAACTCAAACGGTAACGTATTTATATTTGTTTAACAATTTAATATTTTAAAAACAAGGAATTTGCCGGAAATTTTGACTTGTCCATAATTGTTTTTCAATGATAATTATTACTTTTAAAGATATTTAGTAGAGTATAAAACTTAGGACGGTAGAGTAATGTGCACACATACAAATATTACAACCCTTCACTTGTCCTAAATTTCAAACTTGAAAAATAATCATCCAAAACTGCCAGTCGATATTTTCAGCAAGTTATTAATATACAGAAATATTTTCAAAAAGATAAACTACAAATAAATAATAATTGCAATTAATTTACAAAAAAAAAAAATAGTGCATTAACCTTATAAGAATGAATGTCACAAAAATCACCCATAATAAAAAAATGATCCCCATTTTGAAAAAGTATAAGACACGTTTCCGTACTAACATCAAACACCTAAAAAACAAACATATTGAAAAATATAAAATATGTCTTTGTCTCTATAATTTTATCATCTTTAGACTGTTCATAGTTGCTCTAAAACCAAGTAAAACGCATTCTACGCGGCTCTGTTTCAATGAAAAAAAATATACATATATTACCTATTTAAAAAATATATATATATATATATATTACCTAATAAAAAAAATATGTATTACCTATTAGTTTATTTCAAGGATAACTACCAAAAAGCGTCCTAATTACTGAACTAATTAACTTACACATTACAATTTAAGCTTTATAATATTTTGCAAAAATTAATTAATTACCACTTTAGTTTATTGTAATTAACCAAGATATTTATTTCAGAAACTAATACAATCATTTGATTTTTCTGTTGCCTTTTTTTTCATTATTTTCTTTCCACTCAGCCCAATTTAATGTACCCTCAAGGTGACCACTGTCCATCTTAATATATTTTGCAATGATCTCCAAAACGTCATCCAGCACTCTCAACACAATAAGAACAAATCAAGACTTCTTGAAAAATTATAAACTATACAAATTGTCGGTTAATTATATTATTGTCTAAAACTACATCAAATATGTGTGCACTAAACCTTAATACAAAAACCCAATTAATTTTACAAAGTGATCAAATCACTGTCAAGTATTTTCGATAGCTAATTTCTTACTGTGCTAAAAAAAAAACAAACTATTTGAATTTTTTAACTTTAATATTTCTAAAAAAAAAAAACGCTTAAACAATATTTTCTAAGTAATATAATGGAAAAAAATAAGCTGGACCGTCGACCGTCAGGTAATTTCAAACATTAAAAATCGGTGTGACTCTTTGACGATTAAGTAGAAAGTAGAATTGTTAAATTTAAAAAATCTAAAACGTTGCGTACTAATATTAATATTACCTACAGACACTTAATAAAATATATTAACACAATTCAATAATGTACAATAATTATTATCTAAATATATATATATATGTATATGGTCTCAAAATAACGAAGATTTGGCACAAAACGGGTCTGGTCAAGTGAAATTGTAAAATGTAAGATAAAATTTGTATACCTGAAACATATATATATATATATATATATATAACCAAGTGAAACTTTAGAAAAAAAAGTAAACAAAATATGTACAACATACCCAATACAGGCATAAAAATAATGCTAATATTGTATCTTACTTTGTTTTTCGTTAAATTATTATAAAATAATTGAATTTATATTTCAAAAAAAAATGCTCAAATATATATTTTTTTAGTTCCCCGCTCGCTCTGCAGACAGCCGTGCTAATAGTTTACTACCAACAGTGGAAGAAATCTAGATAAAAATAGAAAAACGTTAATGTGTGTTTTAGGTTTTAACAAATAGCAGTTAAAAAATGATTTTAAAAATGTACATTATTTTCAGACTAAGTACTAATAAACAATAAACGATGATGTACAAAAATTCACAAAACTATGATTTTATTTTATTCATAATTGTTAAGTTACTTGTTTTTCCCTTCTAAGTTCTTCCGGTACATAGTTCTTGAGTTCTTTTCTAATAACAAATTCAAATTGCCCGTAGTTATAATATATAAAAGAAACTAATAGTATATAAATAATAATAATAGTATACCTTTTCAAATGATTAACTTCAATGTCCATTCCCGGACGAAACGTAGATTGAGATTTTTTCTTAACTAAAAATTACATATATTATATTATTATTAATCGTATAAAATAAGCGTTAAATTAAAACAGTCGACTTTTCAATTAATTTTTTTATCACATTGCACCGATTTCATTATATGTGAAATCTATAGATATTAAGCCAAAAATGAAAAAACTTCAACCCTTCCCTTACAAAATCAAAAAAAAAAAACAAATTCATATATTTTCCAATTTAAAATTAGGGTACTTTTTTTAAAACCATTTTTCCTAGAAGGGGTGTTTAAGATTAACGATTAAGGTCGATCGTCTGTCCGGAATAATTTGTTGCCGTTGTTTCTCAAACTAATTTTTAAACACCCGCTGACAGAAATTTTCTTTTGTCAAAGGGTGATTTTTCCCATTTTTTAAAAAAATTTTGTGTGTTTTCAAATAAAACAAAATTTTATTACAGAGTTTTGAGAAAATTGTACATGTTATAGCCGCCTCACTCCAGATTTAAAAATATAATCTAATCTTCACACCTTAAGCTCTAAAAGCTATATACTTAATAAAGCAAAATAACATGTCTTTTTGAAAAATTTCATAAAATAATTGCATTTGGAAGAACTTGCATTATATGAAGTTTTTGTTCGTAAATTCGATCGGCTAGATCCGACATCACTATCGTTTTCAGCATTAAAAAGTACAAATGGACAATTTTAAGTTGTTTTAGAAATTCTAATACATAGGTAAGTAAATAAAATATCACCTTGCATACAAAATGCCCTAATATGATTTGTCAAATCCAATTGGACGAACCCATCGACGGATTCATCGTCCTGTTGTGATTTCGCTCGTGACACGTCTAATCCAACAAACCACATTGACGCGTGTGATGTACGCGACGACGAAGATGGCGGAGTGAAAGTATCGGGGTTTATATGAGAACGTAAGACAATTTTGGAAAACTCTAACGACGTAGACAAATGGCGTAACTTAGACTCGACAAATCCTCGCCACTCAACTAGTTCTTCTTCGGTGTTAGCATGAACCACAATACTGAGAAAATACCTAATTATAAAAATAGTAATCAATATTCAAATGATTACACAAAATATTATGGATTTATTATTTTCATTTAGACACTCTTTAGGTCACTGCATACTTGTATTTGGTAAAAAATTTCGAAGGTTGAAATAGTTTAGACCAAGTGGATTCGCCAGTCAAAATCTCTCCCATTATGTCTTGGCCTAATTTAAATTCTTCTTTGATGATCGACAACGTGGAACGAGTCACGTTGAACGTCGAGTTTTGGCTCGGATACACGGGTGTAATTATCGGCATTACGTGTTCCCTGTCTGCTACGTTGATCTAATAAAACAAAACAAAATATATATATATATATGTGTGTGTACACATTTACAAACTTAAGTTAATCGTTAACGTGGGTCTAAACGAATTACTCACCCTGGGATCCCACACCGGATAGCCTAGATTTGTCGTGTACGTAGACTGTAATAATACCGGCTGAGGCCATTTCCACCGTGAAAATATTAAGAAAAATTTGTGTACTAGAGTTGCGGCGACAGCGTTGGGATATAGTTGGCAAATTCTCGCCACCAACATGGCCCAAGACACTCCGCCCAAGTATCCAAGTGAATTTGAATATATCCTATGACCTGTAATTGATAAATTGGCCGACAATATAAATATACATCTTGTTATTGTCATACGTGATTACTTAGAGTCGTAAAAAAAAAAATATAATATTCTACGAAAATAATTCCCAATTCATAAAAAAAAATGAAAATATTTAATCTATTATTTCATGTATACCAAAATAAACACATAACAAAAATAATATACTGATACTATTATTAAAAAAAAAAAAATGGTTGATTATTGTATTAACCGACATAACACAATTATTTAGTAATAAATACTATCGTTATATTAAGGTTTCATTTTACAATACAAAATCATTACAAGCATTGTTTTTTTTTTTTTTAAATTATTACTATGATGCGAAATATAAAAATTAATATATGAAATTATATCATACTAACGTTTTGCCCATAGCTTAATAGCAATAAGGGTTTTTTTAAATTCTTCTTTATTAGGAACTAAACGTAGGATAGAATCAGTCACTCGACATCCGTTTAAACTACGAACACATTTGGGATCTAAATTCCTGAGTAATTCGTCACGTTGCAAATCCTGAAATTATATTTACGACAACCTATGTATTAAGTTTTAAAGATCAATGTACGCAGAACAAAACAATCACTTCAAAGTGACTGTACGAAATTCTTAATTAAAGTAAATATTGTCGTCGTGCATAAAAGTATATTTTCGAATTCATCTTTATGGTACGACAGCCTAAATGTCTCTATAGTTTGCTCCTGGTCACACTCATGGGTACGATAATTTTTTAATAGTAAATTTACAATACTATTACTTTTTGTACCTATTTTTCAATTTAAAAAACAATTAACAAAATATTTAACTAGTAGCATAGAAATAAAACCACTACAAAATACTTCTATTGAGGTATCTTTTTTGTAGTTGCCAAAATTACAACATTAAAATTTTAAAAGTATTTAAGTATACTAACAATGTTTTCGGGTACTTCTTTTAAGGATAAACGTGCAAACAACATGTCAATTTCAATTCCTTGTACCAACATTTTGATGACTGGTACAAATGCCTCTTCGACGGCCTGCGACAAATTGTATAATTAAAATAAATAAAAACAAATTTAATTAAATAACTTAGTATACACAGAAGTAATTTATCTAGTAATACAATTTCGATAGATTTAAAATGTCGGAAGCTAAAAAATTGTTTACGAAAATGATTTGCCGCTAGACAAAACTATTTTTTCTACATTTATGTATGGACTTACTCTGACATTAGTAATAAACGATTGAGTTTTCAACTTTTGATAAAACGAAGTAAAAAAGTCACTTCGGTTGATGTGTCGAGGTACGATAACAATGGTATCGATATCGGCACCTTGATGATAGACACCAATTCTAAAAGAACCAAAAGTACACACTAATCCTCCAACGTTTTCAGGTATATTATGAGCTTGGCTCGTATCTTTTATCCATTCTTTAACGAGCGTGTTTAAGAATGACAATACCTCCAATCTAAATTACAAAATTATCTCAGTTACAACTGAACCGTTTGACATTGAAAAAATAAATAATTTGACTAGTACCTTTGTGTTAAATCTTCTTTGGTGGTGAAGACTTTTTCACTGGTTAATGCGTCTTCTAATGATTTTGTCAATTGAACGTCAATTTCACTCGGCAAAGCATTACTAATGGCAGATGTCATTCCATACATCTTAACAATTTTAATGTAGGATAAATTGGAAAAAGTTGTAGAACATCAATCATCACTTCTATGCTGTGTATAGTATTTCAACTAGAAAAATATTAAAATTCCTAATCAGAGGTTAGATAACACAAGCTTGGTTTAAATCTATAGTTTTATACACTTGTTCTTTTAAAAAAAAATTAGTGTGATCAGTTCGACAACTTTTTACTTAACTTGACTCTGATTTTACATTATTTACCAAATTATTGACAATTTGACTAGATTGCCAATGTTTTATTTAACACCCAAATAGAGCATAGAGTACCTAACACAATACAATTAGTACGTAATTTAAAAATATAGGAAAAATAAAAAAGTTAACTAATTAATTATTGATGTAATAATTTCCATAGAATTAAATATTTTTATTTTTAAAATATTATCAAAAAAAAAACCATAAATAATTTATAACGTAAGAGAAGAGCCATCATATTATGTGTTATTCAGAGCTGCGCCAATGGTCCAGCGTTTCGTATTCCATTGGCGAACAGGTCAAATTTGAAAAAACAACAGCATATCTGCACATTTTGTAAATAATAAAAACAAACCCTACACTTACAAAACTGTAACCAATTGAATAAATAACTGGATAGATAATCGACAATTTTGTAATTAATTATAATTTCGTGTAAAATTTAATGAGGTTTTAGTAGGAATAATAAAAACCAGTGTAATTGTTTAGGGATGTTTTGCTATACTAATTGTATATTACCTGTAAATTATTTAAAATAACTCTACAACAGTTGGCAACAAATCAATTACAACTGTGTTATGCATTTCGGAACAGTTCAACACAAAAACCGAACACAAGTGTTACGAGTGTTACCTAAGTACAATAATTAGTGTTACGAGCGCACGCGAGTTTTTCAGTTTACACAGAATTATTATTAATGCGTTTATTATGTGAATAATTGGTACTTACGCGACATCGAGGAGACACAAATTATTGTGGTGTTGTGTGTCCGACTTTCGCGTTGAATCGAATGCAGCCGAATCGGTGACGGTCATTGCGTTAATTTAAACATGATTAAACAGGTAACGATAATAATTATTATTAACAGGAGAAATATTGGTGTTAATAATGCGGCGAGGTGTGCGTTATTTTGAACGGACGACGGGTCGAAGAGAGCTGTGAAAACGTTACATTTTGTTGTTATGTTAACACACACCTACCAGAAAACTCTTTTGGATTGGACGAACGCCGTATCGATCCATAGTTCTCTTATCAACAACGATGGTAATAATATTGTCGTTATCAATAAATGTCGTTATCAATAATTGTCGTTATCAATAAATATCACTGCGGCCAAGGTGGATCCACCTTGACTGCGGCGAGTGGCGAGATCTTGTCCAACAGCTGCTGAGTGTTTAGTTTTAGTGTTTACTCGTTAGTGTTTAGTGTTTACTATAACAATACCTATAAGAATATTATTACTTACACAAAAACAACATTGGAAACAATGTCTTTTTAACTAGATTTCCTTCGATAATAATCCGAAAACAATGTTCCGCACAGATTGATGTTATATTACTCGGTTCGTTCGCACCGCCGTCAAGAGGATAAATAGTATAGAATGGCACATAACTCGGCGGCACTTTATTGCGAGCAAACGACAATGCTGCAACAACTATTGGCCGATATAGTGTTCCAGAGGTCCAAGGAAATTCGTCAGCTAGTCATGGACGGTGTGTATATTATATTCGTTTGGTGTACATTAATCATTTGCTTACTACGTGGTTGACTATAGCGCTACGTAATTCTGCAATAAACAACTTCACTAGTTTCCGGTGGCGGCTCGTGGGAAAGTATTCAGGAGAGACTGAACATTTAACCTGCTAATACCTACTAAATAAAAACGCCAAATGAGAAAAACATTATCATTTTAAATTTATTTCATCATTGAACCGCGCTAGTGTTATACTTGCAAAATACAAATATTTTATTTACGTAGTATTATATTATGTCTTAAATTTTCGGACTTTACCCAACAAATGACATTTTAACCGATTCATTAATTGCTTTTGGGAAATGGCATGTTGTTCTGATCTCTCAAAAATAACACAAGTAAAACCAACCATTTATTCCTTTTGCCGCTACCAGCAAGCCACAAAAACTTATAACAACCGTTTTTTAATTGTCTAGTATATTTACCATCAATGAAATTAATGTTAATAAAAGATTAGGTGTTGGACGGTTACACTTTATTTGACATTTTCGTTCGTATGTTAATATATTTGAAATTATTTAATAATAAAAAGTCGGTCAACTGTTCCACTAAACCGGCGTACGCCATCAAAATAACAATTTATAGCCTACAATAATGATAATAAAAACACGATATAATGTATCGGATATACTTTGTGATTCAGATAGAACAGTCCATATTATTTATTAGTAGCTAAAGATTTTCAAGGGTAAACTTAGATTCAAAGTCTCCCCTGACGAGCCGCCACTGGTAATTTCGTATAAACTCTCTCAAGTAGTACTGTTGAAGAAACAAATACCGAAAGTGGTTTTATGGTCATCTCGTTGTGTTTTTTACGACAATTTACAAAACTAAAGTCGGAACATTCGTCTGTCAACATTTCATAAAAAAACTCGGCGAGATCAGTACTGTGGCAAAATTAATACGAGTATAAATTAATGACTACAATGTTTTTATTTTAGGATGCGAGTTCGTAAACCATGGTTCAGCATTCTGGACGGATTTATTCGTTCGGCATTTCCTATTTCAAACGGAACACATGATAGATGCTGACGATTTGTTATTTTTTATTAGAAAAAAGAGAATAAAATGCAACTCAAAATATTTACCGACATTTGAAGTGAGACATGAAAATAATTGTTATACAATTTTTGTTTTTTTTGTTTCGTTAAATTAAACGTACGATTTGTTACTACAAATTTTCAGATTAAACAAAATATGATGAAAAAGTAAATTAATATGTTATAATAATTGATATTATTAAATATATTTGTTCTCAGACTGAAATGGATGTATTTCGAAAGGATAGCAAACGACTGCCAGTTGGTGATCCGGATATCGTATGGGAAGAAACTGTCTATTTAAATCTCATCATACACGAGTTTGATTACACCTTGACTTTAGCTATCTGCACAAGAACGAGCCCAAAAGAACTGCAAGTTTTACACAGACACTCTCAGGTATATTATAATATGTCTTGTAGGTAAAAAAAAATGATTTGGAAATGTCTAGAGTAAATTATTGCTTTTTGACGATATTTTAAAAATATATAATATGTTATAGAGAAAAACTATATTTACTGACTTAAAATAAATTATTATTAATTTTACAATAAAAACATTTTCTTCTTCAAAAAAAAAAACCGTATTACTTTTAACTAAAAAAAAAAATCTGATAAAAATAATAAATTTTATTATAATAAAGAAATCCGCAGTTATAGTGTTTAAAACAATTTAACTGCTAAAAAATATATCGCATTGCCATGAAAAGTATGTACACATACTTATCGATAATTTATTATTTTTTTAATTTAATAATTTGTTTAACGTAAGCAATAACCAACAAAATATATATGTATGTATATATTATAAATGAATATTATTTTCTATAGAAAGTTTACGCATCACCAAGTAAACGCCGAATGGATACAAAAGGGGATTTGGAAGAAATTACATACCCTTACGTGTGCTTTATGGTCGATAACTTTAACGAGGTAATTTGTGAATGAAGTAAAGTCGTCGTGAAAATGCAATACAAATTATTACTAATTGATACACATAAAATCAAGCATATCGTTCACCGAAGTCGATCTTCTATTAATTAATCTGTTTGTGTTTTTCAGGTTTTTTGCGATGTCTTGGTAAGAGATGGCGAGATGGTGTGTGTTGAACTAGTGGCTTCGGACAGATGTGGGAAAATGCGTAACGTCATTTTTATAGGATCCATAAGATATGAGGCGTTGAAAACTGTCTACAACAGCAGGGTTAGATTAATAGATTTTTAATAACGATTTGGTTGAGCAGTAATCTCCGTATTTTATTTTAGACAAATCTTTCTTTTTTTTTTTTTTTTTTATGATTTCTTGTTATTATTATTTGTTTTTATAGATAAATTGAAAATAGTCGAATCAAAATTTATGTATTTGGTATGATTTTTATTATTATTATTGACAGATTTATTTTACTTTTGATTCACACTAAATACACTATTTATGAAATTAGTGATTTTGTTACTTGTCGTTGCGTAGATGAGTCTTACGAACAAGACAGCGCAACAAATGATATATGGCTTGTTTTCTGGATCATCGATAAAAAGAACTGAATTCATTAGACTGAAAGGGCCGTACGGAAAAGGTCATGCTGAATTAGCTGTCGCAAAACCGAAAGGTCAATAAAAATTATAAGAAAACTTTGCTGTTAACATGTTATGCTTTAAACATATCTCTTTCATATTTCAGGATCCGGCTGTGACGTAGAAACACCCACTTCTGAACCGGGTTACAATACTTTCGATGCTTGGGATTCGGATCTCAATTCTGATCTAGAAGAATTTTACTTTTGCAGACATCAGGTATGATTTTATTTAATGTACATATTTTATTCACGGTTGCTTTAAATGGACATTTCTACGGTTAAAAATCTGTTCAGTGTAAACGTCAAATAACGTATCACTTAAACAGGAATGTCTATAACATGATTAAAGTTAAACTAAAATACAACCTAAGTTAGATACATTGTTTTGTTTCTGGATAACTGTAAATTGTTGAACACACCAAATACCATTTTAAATATGTATTTATTTTAAATGTTTAAATATGCATCATGTTTTTAAAAAAATATGATGTCCAAAGTGTTTAATGAATTTTATTCTTTGTTTTGCTTGATATTTAATGCTGTTCATAGTTCTAATTGATACATTTTACTTTCAACAGAGGCGATTAAGTGACCCTTGTACAAATTTAAACGTTTTTGCCAACGGCAATATGAAGCTGAAAATGAACGAGAATAGAACGCGATCAGAAAGCGACGGACTAGACAGCTTGGCTCACGGGTTACCTGAAATCGAAGCAGGCGATGTTCGAGATGGTAATAAATAATTTAAATTAATTGGAGCTCTTTTAAATAAACTTGTTTTAATATTACCTTAAACAGTTTGAATATTATAAAACACTATCTATGGCTTAACTAAACAATTTGCAAAAACAAAATTATGATTTTAAATGAGAATGTTTAATATTTTTCCTTTACGTTGGCTTACAATAGTTAACTCATTATTTTTACACTTTCTGACAATTAAATTCATGTTATTTCATTAAAAAAAAAAAGCAGTTCTGTTTTCCATTAAAGTATAAGGAAAACACAAATTTTGGCCTAAAATAAAATCTAAATATTTTATTTTTTTTCATGCAGCCCAACAAATCTGTTACAAGTCTACATTAAAAAGATACTTTATTGGGCCAAAAATTCAAAACGTTTACTAGTTAACCTCTTCAAAATAGAGAAAACACCCCCAAAGGAGGAATTGACACTTTGGCCGTAGCAAATAACTATAATTGCTATTTGGGAGTTCAACGGGTATCCATAAAATATTTTCAATGTATTGTTGATTACATAGGCAATAACTTAAATAAGTTATTATAGACAAAAAATCAACTCTACTACTAAAATAACAATTTTTAATAAATTTTTGCCTCACAAAGCTTTTATCGATATTCAATATTTCTACCATCTACAGATGATAGATTCCCATCAAAGCGTTTATTTCAGAGTGATTTCAATCACTTTCAGTCATAATAATTCCCGTAGATCTGTGACCTTCCCCGCTGAACTGGCATTTTTTATAATAGGTATTATATTATGTTAAAACAAAAAAACAATTGTTTTCAAAAATCTTATAAACAACCTATAAGCGTCAATTGCCTTTTATATAGAGCTCACATTGTTCTTTATCAATGAAACGTATCGATATTAACTTATACGTCATTTATTTCAGAATTGGACGATGGTGTTTACAATCCGCTATGGACTATGAAAGGTTTCGCACAAACTTTTCATTTTTGGAAAGAAACCCGAAGGGCTCAGTCAATACCTTTGAATATGTTTCTTACGTACATAACCTTGCCTTGGTGGAGCATTATGGAAGGTAATGGAACTAAATTTATATTTATATTTAACCTCGAACTTTGCTATGAGAGATGAGTTTAATATTTATTTATTTGTTTATTTTAGATATACTATCCGACCAAGAAAGTCCAATACTTACTTTTTAATAACACAACGTTATGGTTGGTATGTTTACAATTTTTTTTTTTAAACTTTTTATAGCCATGGATGGCTATACTATAATGTAACCCAACTTTTTTAACATTGAGTGTCATTTTTATGTAAAAATATTAAATGCAGTAATGATAAATTCCTCATTTATTGAATTTCATATAATATTATATACGTAATAATATGTTTTACAATTTTCTATCGTTTGAAATGTGTTATAAAGTTAATTTTAGGATAATATTATTACATACAATCAAGGAACTAAACTTGAACAATTTAATACTTCCTTTCATAATGCTACTTTGAAATAAATACTGACATTTTTAAGTTTTAATATTATTTTTTTTAAGATATCGATATTGGATTTTGTGTTGTTCTACTATATTGCCAATTATTGTACTTTTATGATTTTTGTGTTGCTTATATTTTACCAATAATTATCATTATAATTAATGTAAACTATTACAATTATTGTCGTTATAAGTCTTGGACAGTTAATTTCTTAACAATTGTCAATGATTAAACGAGATTAAGATTGTATATGTGTACTTACGTTGTTCTGGCAAATCGGTGTGGATTTTCCAAACGGATTATAATGATATTATTTAAGTAATACTTTAATGTGTTCATACTTTTATGTACCATACAAATTTTGTTGTAAATATGGAAACAACTTTTTAGTCATGAAAACAATTATTGTAATACTTGTTCTTGTTGTTGTAGTAGATTCTTGGAATTTATAATGATTATTGTCATAAAATAATCTATACAATTAATGAAAATATGACTTGAGTGTATTTTGATGTTTAAACTTTATCTTTTTAAAAGGATTGCATAGCATTCAAGGCTATACAGTTCTATTGTCCATGAAAATATTTGACTGTTTACATTATATTATTTATAATTATATCAATAAATTAAGCTTATTAAACATTACTAGTCGCCTTTCGTTCCATATGCTAACAAGTATACCTGCTTTAAATGTAAACATTTTATATACCCTACCAAACGGATATTGTCTTGTAAATTTAGAGTTCATACTTCAATGCTAATCTCTAGACACTGCACTTTACATTAACACTTTCTTACTGTGCTTGTTTTTATAAAATACATGTATACAATAATATCTTGGCAAAATCTTTGCTAATAATAATGGTTGGTAATATCAAAGTACACGGCCTAAAACAAATAGTTTTATTTTATAAAATACTTATCCATGTCGCATGGCAAACAAAATATTTACACTACAGTCTTAAGCACGGTGAAATTGTTTGCTCAATGATGAAACATAAATTAATTTTATTTCGCCTAATAAGACTGTGTGAGTTCAAGAGACACGTTTATGTAAATATTACATAAATTGAAAATCTTAATAAATAATTTATTTTTGTTTTAAACGAAGTTAACAGCTTTATCTTTACTCTTCCTCGTTGTAACTCATTTCATTCGTGTTTAAATAGTGTTAATAATTCTTGTTATTTTTTTGGGGGGGGGATAACATGACTTAAGCCAATATCTAAAACTTACCACAGCCAGTCGAGAGTGAAGTAATTGTTGAAGATTGGCAAAAATTTGGAAAACATTTTTATTATTTACCGAATCGAAAAACAGGAAAAGGGTTCATACTCGAAGGCCCGGAGGTATGCGTTTATATTAGCTTCAGGTACTTCATTTTTGTACCAATTGTTATTAAATTACTGTGTGTTGTATACTTGTTTAAAACTTGAGATTTATAAACCTCATAACCAACGTTATTACATTATCTGCATATTTTAACCTTTTGTATAAAATATATGCAGATAATAGTTAAGATTATAAACAACATAATCCAATTATCACTGGTATATTTCTATGTGGTCTCAACTCGACTTTATATTATACACTTATTGCTTTGTCTCCGCAAACAAACAGATAATCCTAAAGAATGTTTGTAATTTTTTCATTACAACTTATTGAACGGTATTTGCTTTTTTATTTACCTATTATTATTGTTGCTATAGCAGTTTTCAATATACATATAAATATTGATTGCTAAAAATAGTTAAATATGTAACATTTTATCATTTTTAAATGTAAGATTATTTCAATATAATATACATACAATTATAATTTATTAGGAACTTTAAGAAGATACAACGATAAATGAAGATATGGATTTTTTGTTCACAATATTATAGATGCCAACCAATTATGGCGGTACCAAAAAATGCAACCCAGATACAATTATGTTCCAGACGCTAATAACGATGTCAGATTTTCTTATAAGTAATAGATTCTAAATATTAGTTAAAAAGACGTACAAAAATTGTTTTTCTTTATTTATTAAATTTGAACTTGACTTACCTTTAGCCATGCAAACCTAGGATGTTACCTACTTTTCTAATGTACATATTACTTTTTATTCACTCTATATATTGTGTCCTACTACAGATTTTTTCTTATTTTAATCGAAATTTGTACTTTTGTTTTTGTTATGAGGTTTATTTTTTTATATCTACACCTTGCCGTATGGACAAGGTATTCCGGCAAAATATCCTATATTATTATCAACTTGACTGTATATATATATATATATTTTGTATAAACCAGATTTGTCTCTACAATTAGATAGGTATTCCAAGATAATATTTTTATTATTTTCATTAAAACTTAATCAAACAGTATATTCTTTTATTATTTACCTGTTATTATTGTCGAGATAGTAATTTCAAATATAAATAAATATTGCGATTGTTAAAAATAGTTGGTTGCTCGAATAAGTACCTAACGCTGTTGAAAGAATCATCCAGCATAAATTATTATTTTTATTTTTCCTTGTTTATGATTCTATGTTTCATTAGGATCTGTAATCGTTAGAAATAAATATGTAGTACAATAGATAGAGTAAATCGTGTAAGCATCGTGTAATACAAATAAGTTCTAAGTGGCTTACTATACATAAGTGGTTTTTCCTGTTAATTTGTCTATTTATTCTCTAGCTGTTTATACGTTCGTTTTAAATAGTCTAATTATTTCCAAATTTGTATAAAACTGAATGTGTTTTCATCACAACAAAACGCTTTGATGCGAGTCTAGAAATAGTAAAAATGTGTTTTATTCTCAGTCCAATCTGTTTGAATGGCGCAAGTCAAATAATAATAAACTACTCAAACACTATTATTAACTAGATGTTGATCGGAGACTGACAGTTATGAAACACGCTCAGACTCTGTTGTTTTTGTATTGTAAAATAAACAGAAAACGGAAAAAATTATTTCTTTCATTAACAAAAAACAAACAGAGTGCTGTCTTTATTCTACCAAAGGAATAGGACTTAAAAAAAATGCATCAATCCAAAAACAAATAACCACCCAGAATACTCATTTCAACTCTAACACAATTCCGAAACTATGCAAAATTGAACACATATGTATTTTATAAAATTTAATTCTTTGTTATCCTGATTTTTAAAAAAGCTGACAGTACTTGGTCAGGCATGTTGAAAGACATGCCGTCCAGTACGTGCTAAACGAAAAAAAATGTTTGTACTCATTTATTATTATTCCACGGCAAACCGATCTGTGCTTAGATGAGTGTGTTCACAGACAGTACACAGTTTTTAATCACACTCTAGTCGAGTATGTCACAACAAGAGGTTAGTATAGTGGAGTTGGACCACCACTAGAGACCATCTGGTTCAGATGTATGAATATTATTTAAAGGAAATAAGACTAATGTTGGTCGTTACCTCAGACAACTTCTAAGTGTTGTAATTTGTAGGCAAAAATGACCGGACATAACTTTAAATATTTTGACATAAATATGTCCTATGATTGAAAGGTCATTCTGAAAATTTGTCCACCACATGTCAAGTGTCACAATGCTAACGTCATTAATTATATATATATATACAGGGTGATCCAACTAACGTAAGACACTCATTTTCTCGGAAAATATAAATATTTTGAGAATTTTTTTTTTTCTAAACTTTTAGGTACATATTTTACTACATTTTTCAATATTTAGAATATTTTTATCTTCAACCCTTATATGTAAAACAAGTATCGCATTTGGTTTTTTAAATGGGAACGTATGTTTTTAATTTCATAAATCTGTAGACAACATTTTTAAAAAAGTTTTAGCGTTTGAATTTCTAATTTTCATCAATCGGTTTTGTAGTTATTACGTTGTAAAGATTTGAAATTTTGATCCATATTTCTTTGGGATTTCAAAACAGGTAGCATATTAAATACTATTAAATAATATTATCGACCTCGCCCCGTCGTCCGTCGATAAAACCGATAATCAGATAATAGTAATACTCCTTACTTTTTTTTTTTATAATATATGGAGATGCGGTTCTTTACCTACTGTCAGAAACCGCGATACCATATACATGTCTGGTCAATTGTTCACATATCTTATCAGTAGACAACACTTACGACGAAATTTTTTCCAACCTTACCTACCCATATTATCACGGTATGATTATGATATATTATCAAGCCCAAAAAAAGTGCGTGCAACCGGCTGCCGGCAACGTGACTTGCATTGTGTATTCAGAACCCGGAAACGTCCTATACTCCTATGCCGTTTTTTTTGTTAATACATTTAACTATTTAAGTAGAGTCAATTGTGTTTATATATTCTCTAATTGTGACTACATTTTATATTGCTCTACAATGTACGATGAAAACTAATAAACATAATGATTTCATAAGCAAAAACTTATTTCTACTAGTAATAGTAAACATTTTGTAAATATATTTTTGATATTTGACATATTATGGGAAGTAGGTTTATCAGTATCGAACACCGATTACACTATAGCGTAATAATAATAATAATAAAATATATTTCGTTTGTCAGATCTTTGTAGGACACCCTGTATATAATAAAATATTCTATTTAAAATTGTAATTATTACTAAAAGTATATTCTACAAAAAAATGAATATTGATAAAAAAAATATTTACATTAGTTTAATAATAATTAAAAGAGCACAAGTGAACAACAGTTGAATTTTCAAATCAATACAACTACTTTATTTTATTTTATGTACATTTACTGACTTGATTAAATCATCAAATGAAAAAGTTTGATTTATTGTTAACATGTTATAACCTATACGCATTTATTTGTCAATCATTAATATTTTGAAGAAAATATTTGGTATAAAATGTATGGATGATAGTCAAACACCAAGTTTAATTAATTTTATACTCCATAATCAAATATCCGTTATGCATTAGAAATGCAAAATATGGGTTAGATTACAAAATTTTAAATTAAATAAAATCTGACATTAGATCTACCATAAATAAAAATATTAACCAAATATGAATACATTTGCTTCATTGATAAAAAAAAATATTGCTACATTTTTTTTTAAAGATGATTTCATTCATGTAAGAAACTAGAAAACAAAAGCTACCACATAACATAAAATCTAACTTTTTTCATTTGTTAAGCCACATTAAAAAAATGAATAGTCAACTATAATTATAGAGTGACTTGACTAAAAGAAACTAATATTTTTAACATTAAATGGTACTAATAAAAATGCTTATACAAGTTATTATTCGAGACAAATAATTATGATGTTAAAATTTAACATCCTTATTGCAATCTCGAACGTTACACATCTTGAAAATATAATTGTTTTCTTATATTTTATATTAATATTTTTTTTTTTTTATAGCCTTTAAATATTTATAATGAGTTCTTTTTGGGCCACATAAAAATAATCGGCGGGCTGTATGCAGCCCAGGGGCCGCTGGTTGAGTATGGTTGTGTTAAATGCTAATATTTTATTCTTCTAAGATTCCAAGTAGAAAGCAATATTTTCTTCATCTGAAAAAAATAATTTAATAATTATTAACTTATATCTCCTAATTTCTATAAAATGCCTAATCTAAAACAATATTATTTTTATTTTGTACATTTTTGGGTTATATCTACAAAAGACGACTTCAAAATGAAGACGTTGACACAACTGAAAATATACAAAGTAACAATTTACTAATAGTAATAGTGTAATATCTATTATTCACAATATATAGTTTTTCAATACTAAAATATTGCACATCTAGACTCTAGTGCATATTGATATTCGAAACATACCTAACTAGTAACTGAATAATCATAAATGACATATTGATATGTAGCTTGATAAACCAATACTGACTATTGTAATCAGTGACAAATTGTACATTAAGGTTTCAACACATCATTATCTTTCCAGTAATCTTCTTAAAAAATGTCCTGCTAAAAAATACAAATTAAAATTTTATAAATTAAAATTTTAGTATTTAATATATTGTACTTACAGCTTTCCTGCGGTTAGTCGTCAACATTTATTCCAGTTAAACTATAATTAACAACTGTTAATTGGCCATATAATAATAATATATTACGTATAGTATTAAATAAATCAGTAGGTATATTGTATAACTTGGTTGTTATGTTGAGTTTTCCAAGTCTTAAATACAAATTTCACTATTACTAATGAGAACTAATTATATTTATGAAATCATTACATTCATTATAGTTTCAAAATAAATTGTAAAATGTATGTCACTAACCACAATTAGACATTTTAAAACACAATACTAGTTTCTTCTTTATATATAAAAAAAACTGTTCACAAATCACGAGTACACGTTGTTTGTCGTTTGACAATTTAAGTTTTACTCATACCATAGTATAATGATACTGTGATAATAATATTAACGCTATATTATAATCATACCGTAAAAGTGGTTTAAGGCAAAATCGTCCACATCGCAGTCTACTGATAATACATGTGAACGGATGACGGTTATGTAAGGTATATTTGTTTCCAAACAGGTAGATTAAGAATCGATTGTCCATATAATAATAAAAAAAAATTAGAGCCAGAGTTATTTATGTCTCATTATCGGTGACAGTATTATCGATGGGGTCCAATATTATCATTATTTACTGGCAAATAAAAGTGCTACTGCTGAAAAACCGAACAAATATTGATTTTAATTTCAAATCTTTACTAAGTCACAGAAAACGAACAGATAGTTGAAAATTGAAAATTCAAACGCTAACAATTTTTAAAAAAAATTGTCTACATACTTATGGAATTAAAAACATATGTTTCCATTTGAAAAAACGAGTTTCGTAGTTTTATAACGTATAAGGGTTGAAGATAAAAAAATTCTAAATATTAAAAAATGTAGTAAAATATGTACCTAAAAGTTTAGAAAAAAAAAAATTCTCAAAATATTCATATTTTCCGAGAAAATGAGTGTCTTACGTTAGTTGGATCACCCTGTATATATATGTTTTTTTTTTAATTATGTTAAAACAATGAAAAAAAATCTAAAAATGTTCTAAATATCATCTGTTGATGAAAAATAACAATCATAATAGTATGTAAAAAATACCTTATTCAAATTTAGTCTCGTACAAAATAAACCAGAATATTTAAAAAATTGTAAATAATTTGTGTAAAATGCATTAAGTTTTTAAATAAAATATACTCAAAAGTAAAAATAATACAAAGATGACAATCTTGAAGTCTCTTAACGTTTTTTTCCATATCAATTGAATGTTTATATCAGAATTTAAACAACCAACATAACATGAGTGAAATTCTAACAGTGTACTTTATCAATGTGTATAAAATAAATGCATAAAAAAATAGACAATAATTTAAAAAAAAAAATCTGAATCGGAACAAAATATTAAATTTTTACCTATTATAGCAACAGAGATGTTTAAAGTTGAATCTTAATTCAATAACAATTGCCTCATTATTGTGTTATGTATAAAAAAGGAACTGTGAATTGGTAAACGCTATACACCACACGGTTACCTACTCAAGTGTGTTCTTGAGAATCCTTTTAATGATAATTATAGAGCTATTATTTATATTATTTAAATTTTTAAAGTAGGATGCCAAGTTGCATAAAAAGTCAATCATTTTAATGGTTTATTAAATATTAATGGACCAATCACAGGCAACTAAATTGTGTTTAAATGCCACTGAATATATACGAGTATATATATTGGTTCCCATCCCGGTTTCTGGACGGTTCACTACCATCCGAGACGTTAAAACGGCAGATGCTTCTTGATGAAATCCAGCACTCATACTTTGCACAGGATCTGCCCAACTAAAATCAGAAGATTTAATAAAATTCCTATTCGAATAAATGTATGTTAATGGCAAGGCAACGTGGTAAGCTAAAAAAAATATTTAAGAATACTGGGATCGATGCTGTTTTTTAGTTCTTCGACGGAATCTTAATTATATGTATTTATTATAACAAGTAACGTGATAAACAAATGACAATAACATAACATGATAAAAAAATGTATTTAACATCAGTAAATTTTGAAACAAAAAACATTAAAAATATCAAATGATTAGTTAAAAAAAAGTTGTACACAGTTAGTGTAAATAAATATTTATTAATGTAAAACTCAAATAAAGGAAAAAGGAACTTAAAATTATTGAAGTTAACTCTTACAATTTAAATATATTACATATTATAATCTAATGGATATTTATTATTTATTTATGATATACAAATATATCAATTAAACATTTGAGTTTCTTAATGGCAGAATAAATTTGATAGAATAGACTATTTATATATAGATTATTTTGGGCATGCTGAAAATGATGGTTTAGTCGTTTAGGGGAAAAAACTAATGGCCAACATATTAGTTATTACTTAGAATAATTATAAGGATATGATATAAATAAGGTGTTATAGGCGTCGGTTTTTACAAACAAATATTACAACCCGTCTCAACTATTCAGCCGTACATAAGTATCACAATATTTTAGTTAGTGGACAGTATATTATATTTACATTTTTATGATACATCAATATTAAATGTTTTTCATCGGTGAGGTAAATCTTTCATCGTATAAACTATTAGTTTCATCATTTTTGGAATCATACACGTTGTCATTATTTATACTGACGATTTTACCGACAAATTGCTGTGTCAATGCGATAGCCACCGTACTACAGTATAGTCACAAGAGTAAAATTTTAACAATATTGCTCTAAGACTGCAATAGGATTGAAACGTCAGATAGCCAATGACATGGATAGATCCGAAAAGATAAAACTAATAAACTATATATTCGAATAATATTTTTCAAACATTATTATTATTATTCACTCACTTGCATACAGTTTTGCGTTGATCATATCAGGTAGCGTATCCCATCAACTTAAATGATTCAAGTTCATTCTGTAAGCACGTTTACGAGAAGATATACCGCCAAGTAAATATATATAATTTTCGCTACTTGTAACGCCCATTGAAACAGTAGCTTTTGGCATAGGATTACACTGTGTCCAACATTTTTCTTGTAGATTATAGCAGTCTGCACTACTAAACAGCTTATATTTTTCTTTAGCTCTACCAAACTTCATAGAAAAAAAAAATCAATTGCATTAAACGTACAATGTGAAAAGATTTACAATTCTTTTTTAGGTTTGGCAGCTATGGTTATTGATTTGATGGATAAAGTTTTATTGTGTATAGCAAAAAACACGTCCATTAATGGACAACAATAATGTGGTATATTTGCATAAATTGCAATAGATATAAATCATTTCCTCTACCTTTAATGCCTATTAAAAACAGTAGCTGTTGGTATCGCATTTAACTGTGTCCACCGTTTTTCTTGTACATTAAAGCACATAGCGCATCTAAATATTTTACACTTTTTATTTAGGTTTTTTATTTCATAACCTTGTTGTAATTCTTTAATTAGAATAAAATGAAAATAAAATAACTGTATGTCATAATAACATACTTTTCTTATCATCTTATCAAGTCAATATTGAGTATTTAGATGGATAAAAAAAATTCTTCAAGCATAATAGTGTTATACTTAATATAATATCTAACCAATATATTATTTGGTTCATTAAAGAAATAAAATTATCATTGATAATTGTTATCACTTTGTGCTTTTAAAATTGTCTTCTATTACTAATATACTTAAATATAATGTATTTCGACTACGATGAACATTTTTTGGAGCAAGCCCTTGTTAATTTATTTTTTACGATATTGGGACCCATATGAAATTAAAAAAAAATAATTTGTTTGTATAAACAATACTATGTTATAAAAATTGTATCTTGTTGTAGCGCGTTTTTTGTCGAGTCCACAATAAAAAATGAAACGAATTAGCCTTACTTGAAGTTGAACGTTCGCAATTTAAATTCAAATAGTATTATCATTTGGGCAAAATGATAATATGACTGGTGATAAAACACAATGAAGGATAAAAATAATGTTAAAACAATCCAACCGAGGTATACGAAATCCTTTACACCTTCAATGCTATATTCCCTGATGGTTTTTGTCCATACCAAACAATATGTTGTATCTAGTGCCCATAATTTGGAGAATTAGGCATGACAATCAATCGCAATACCAGAAACCATATCTAATCGACAAATAGGATTTATTCGAAACAAAAAAAAAAAAAAACATTAAGAGAGGAACATTTACATATTCAGTCAGTGACCAATTTATAACTTGTGTTGTAAACTAAGGAAGAAAGAGGAGAGGAGAGGAGATAAAACCTAAGGAACCACACGAGTATTCGTGGTGGGCGTTAAAAAGCGCTTTAAAAACATCAATATAATATTGAAAAAAAAAACACATTTTTTTAAAACTAAAAAATACTCTCTGTTCGCTCCACAACGCATAAGACAAACAACAAATCGTTTTCCGATTTATATTAAAAGTTCCCGTTTGACAGTGTAAAATTTTAATAATACATATTTTACCGTATAACACTTTTTTTTCTTTGAATTCATTATAAAATCGACAATTGTAGAAAGAACATATTATTCGATTTGCAGCCGAGTTAAACTTAAAAGTAAATTAAATATAAAAATGACTTGATAATAATACAAAATGTACTTCATGACGTTCACTGTTTTGTTAATATTTTATTTTTGTTATTGCTATCCCTGTACTGAGTGAACCTACCGAGATAGGAGGTATAATAGTCAATAATACTTGAATTGTAAAATTCGAATATTACATTGGTCAAGTTTTACTTCTGTAATGAATTTTAAATGTATTATTTTAACGGACAGAGAATGTATATTTTATGGCTGAAAAAAATATTCCCATAAATGAAATAATTTGTAAATCAGATGTATAATTTTATTTATAATTGATATATTATTTTGAACTTCGTTTTTATTTTATTGACAATTAGAGTGATATTTTCAACTCGATAATAAATAAAATGTAATCAAATAGTATAATAAACTGATTTTCATTTAAAAATGTCAGTTTCTTGTAATTAAATAAAATGAATTTACAATTTTTTCAATAATATAAATGTGCTTAAAATTATGAATATTTCAGGTTCTAGAAACATATTTTGCTGACTAGAAAATGGTTGAAGAAATCTTCGGGATCTACTCTAACACTGACTGAATTTTTTTTTTGTATTCTGGTAACTACAATCAAACTGTAAATTCCGCATTAGACTACTTGAATGTATTTCAAGTTAACGCTGAAAAACAAAGTAACCGTTAACTATACTTTAATTATCATTTAATATAAAAAATTAACATGAGGAACCCGAAACAGCAACTAAAAATGTATGTTAAAAACAGGACAAAAATGTTGTAACTAATAAAAGTATACATAAAAAAATGGAGTTCCAACATATTCAGGGGTGGTTTTTTAGTGTCAACGTTGTATACTACAAGTTTTAAAAAAAGGTCTTAAACACGGTTAGAATAAAAAAATTCAATTGATTAGAAGTTAATTCTATAAAAAAAATTATGCACAAGGTTATTGAATTTTTCCCCAATAGACTAAATTAGGTTTCTATTGTGATAGCAATTTTTTCATAATATCATTGTTCTTACTTCCGCAAGTGTGAGTGTTTTGTATTCATTATAGCTTGTTTACACATTTTTTAGGATTAATAAACAATAGTGACATTTTAATGATATTGCTAAATTTGATTGCAACGAAGATAGTCATGGGTAATACACTAGGCAATAACACAGTATTAATTTGAACTCCAAGGCATTAGTTAAACTTATTCACGAGTATCTAAGGCTTAAACAAAACGTCATCATATTTGTTGCAAAATATTAGTACGAGTATCTAATGAGTATATTTTTATAAAAAAATAGGTTTTTTTATTATGTATTTATTTATATGTAATAGGTATATTTATGAGACATGCCCTTTGTATAGTAAAAATTAATGATAAATAATTATTTTGCATGCCTTTTTAGCTTATTATTCTGATGCAAGCTGTACTGACATTTTTAATCGTCCATAGAAATATATTATTTTTCCTGATTTTACTACTATTCAAGCTATAGTCATGAATACCTATTGTATTTAGTTATTGTACTTAGACTATATGTCGTTAGAAATTTAACAAGAATTTTAATTAACAAAAATCGACGAATGAATACAAGTAGAAGTATCATTTTGACTATTTGATTTAAAGTTCCGTTTTTTTTTTTAGTCCATCTTTGTCACTGCCATTAAAAATGGTTATTGTAGGTTCATCTTACCAGCTTGCCTGCGACGATCCTACTCTTGGTGGACAGAAAAATATAGTGACATAGTGAAATCCTTCGTGTATTAGAAAAAAACAATTTTCAAAATATTTATAATTTCCAAGAAAATAAGTGTCATCTATCAGATGTATCGCCTTGTATAAATGAAGTAATGCTTCGCCCTCACTAAACCTTGACAAATAATGCTGACTTTAAAAGTCTTTTTCTAAGAAAACGTGTAATGACATTGTGGAATTTGATTAGTAGCTTATAATATTATATTCACACGTCAACAAGTCAATAAGTTATTTAATTTGTCTGTATACTCGCCGGAACGAGAGTACAGATGTAAAGAATAATAATTAAAAACCTAATTAGTTTTAATAGTAGTTTATAATAGGTAATAATATTAAAATATTACCAAAACACCTATTCAAAATGTAAAGTCATTCGAGTTTTCAGAATAGTCGTGGGAATAAGAGTACAAATGTAAAGTATATTATCTAAAAACCGAATTAGTCATTGGGTATTGTTGATTGTAGTAATAGTATTTCAAGTTTTCGTTTCACAGAAAATGCAATTATATGAAATGGTTTCATCTCAGCAGGTAAAAAAAAATTATTCACTCAACCTATGATACGTTACCAGACTTTAGGCTAAAATTGCTTTACAACCCTTACACTGCTTTAACGAGTATATTTAATCGCTTACAGTAACGATAATTTTTGAAAAAAAAACGTGACCACCACGTTTCCACTATGTCTCGAACACACTGTGCTAGTTTCTTGTTTTTCCAATTAACAATTGACTTGAAGTATTACTTAGTCTACAAAACTGGTATGCTCTAACCAAAGGGTAGGCCGAAATATATAAGAGTAAAACACTCAATATATGTTGTTTAGAAAAATGTTCATCGAAAAGTTAGTCGACTTTTTTTTTGAGTATTAAGTTACTAATTATTTTAGGTGGAAACTTAAATTTTGGCAAATGAGCTAAGCCGTTTATTTGGCAAAATGTATTATAGGTAATATTAATAATATAGTTTATGAATAAGACATATTGTCCTTTCTTTTAGAAATTATCTTTTACTTCGCCTATTCATAGAATCGAATCAATTGCTAATGCTATAAATATTTATATTTATATTTATACGCCACTTAATTATTGAAAATGTATAAAAGTGATATTTGATTAAATATCACCTGACCTATGACATGATATGAACTATGTTATATGTAGGTACGTATAATCATTTAATTATAGCACTAAATTATATTTAATACAAATTATACCATGATAAATAAAAATAATAATTTATGGACACAATATTTTCAGGTGTCATGGATAATTAAATGTTTAAGCCAAAAAAATATTATCGCCATGCTTATAACGGTGTTAGTATTTTTATTAATTCTATATTTTAAAATAGTAAACCGGAGAAATACATCATTGGCAAATCGATTACCAGGTCCAGATGGATTCTTTTTGGTGGGAATTTTACCTATATTTTTTGGAGGACCTGAAAAACTATTGACGAATATGTTAAAAATGTCCAGAAAGTAATTACTCTTTACACAAGTCTATTTGTCACATTTCACCGATAACAACATCTAGTACTTTGAGAGCAACAATCATTTGTCCGTTGTCTTTGTAATACAGATACAAGAGTAACTTAATAAAAGGATGGATTTTAAATCACTTATACATATTTGCTCGGTATCCTGAAGTTGTAGAAGCGGTCCTTACCAATCCTAATCTGTTTAAAAAATCTAAAGAATATAATGTTTTAAACGAATCAATTATGGGCGATGGAATATTTACAAACAGGATTTTTCATGAATGGAAAACGAACAGGTTAACTTTTATTTTATTTATCATTACAGTTATTAAAAAAAAAACAAAACATAAAAAAAATAATATAGCGTAAATATGTATCACAAATTGAAAAATATAACGGAAACTATTAAAACTTGTAATTTAAATCCTAGGAATTCAATTTTTATAATCAATTATTATAATGTCACCTTTGGAGTTACCTACTATCAAGTATTATTTTAATTTGATTTGATACTTATAGAAAATTGGTAGCTTCGGGGTTTAAGTTTTCGATGCTTAAATCGTTCGTACCAATATTTTGCGAGGAAGCAAAATTCTTAAGCCAGGTGTTGTACGAGAAACAGGAAATCAGTACAAATGAATGTGAAATAAGCTGGGCAATCGGTATGGCCACTTTGGAGATGATCGGAA